GGAAAACGAGTATGTTTTCCTGGCACTATAGTGGTCCTTTAAGTACCTCTATCGTAGTGGTAACAAAACAGACATTAAGATACTTTATACATATGACCTGTGGATATGTGGAAGAGTTAACATCTCTTGTATCGCCATTCAGGGGGCATCAGCGGAACCTTAGCTGGCGGTGTTGTCATCATGTCGGGGACAGGGAAGCCCCAGTCCTTCAATTTCTGTATACCCGCATCCAGGGATGTCACTGCATGCATGGTGCCTTGGTGGTGAATTAGTAATTTAGCAGGGTATCCCCATCTGTAGTTGATGTCCTGCTGCCGGAGGGTGGTCGTAACGGGAGCCATATTTTTCCGGCTTTGCAACATTGAGGCCGAGATGTAAGCAAAAATCTTGATGGTTTGATAGGGCTCTGGCATGTCCGAAGTTCTGCAGGCTTTTGCTATACTTTCTTTTCCATGAAAGAAGTGGACCATCGTAATAACATCCCTGGCTGCGGTTCCAGGTAGATGTTTGGACCTCTGAAGCCTGTGTGCATGGTCAACTAGGAGTTGTTCAGGGTGTATAGCAGGCCTTAGTGTCTGGAATATATCCATGAGATAATTCTGCAGGTCCGCACTCGTGATTGTTCCTGGAATACCGCGGATGCGCAGACTGTTCTGTCAGGATCTGTCCTCTAAATCCGCTAATCTGTCCTCTAAATCCGCTAACTTGGCTTTCTGCCTCTGAGACATGCTGCAGGTCTGTTCACTATTGATGTGGGAAAATCAAGATGTAGGGCAGTTATTGCGAGCTCTATGTCGCCCGAGTTCCAGGAGCCTCACGAACTTGTGTCCATGCGGCTCAAGCGCCAAGCCACGCCCCCTAAGTGTCCAGGAATGTTTTTTTAAACTACAATAAATGTGTTTAGAAATCAGCCTGTGTACAGTGAGGGAAAAAAGTATTTAATACCCTGCTGATTGTGAATGTTTGCACACTGACAAAGAAATTATCAGTCTATAATTTTAATGGTAGGTGTATTTTAACAGTTAGAGACAGAATAACAAAAAAAAAACAAAAAAAAAACGCATGTCAAAGTTATAAATTGATTTGCAATTTACAATTTGACCCCTTCAACTTAGTACTCAGTGGCAAAACCCTTGTTGGCAATCACAAAGGTCAGATGTTTCTTGTAGTTGGCCACCAGGTTTGTACACATCTCAGGAGGGATTTTGTCCCACTCCTCTTTGCAGATCCTCTCCCAAGTCATTACGTTTTCGAGGTTAACGTTTGGCAACTCGAACCTTCAGCTTCCTCAACTGATATTCTATGGGATTAAGGTCTGGAGACTGGCTAGGCCACTCCAGGACCTTAATGTGTTTCTTCTTTTTTTTTTCATACGATAGGTGTAGCGGGCTCAAGCCAACATTTGGGCTTACGCAGAAGCCAATATTTGAGAGGTCATTCATATCGATACAACATATAACTTTATTTTACGTGACATTCCTCTTTGTGATCACTTTGTGCCCTGCTTCCCATCGAGGGTTTTATGTTTAAACCAGGCAATGTAGTTTTGTAAGGATCCCTCGCTCTGCGCAAGTCAGTTTCGTCTTTAGGTATCCTCGTCTCTCCGATAGTGTATGTGTTTCTTCTTGAGCCACTCCAAGGTAAGATCTTGCATGGAGCACCAGACCAAGGGACACTCACAGTTATTTTTGTTTCTTCCATTTGGGAATAATTGCACCAACTGTTGTCAACTTCTCACCAAGCTGCTTGGCGATGGTCTTGTAGCCCATTCCAGCCGTGCGTAGGTCTAAAATCTTGTCCCTGACATCGTTGGACAGCTCTTTGGTCTTGGCTATGGTGGAGAGTTTGGAATCTGATTGATTGATTGTGTTTGTGGACAGGTGTCTTTTATACAGGTAATGAGCTTAGATTAGGAGCACCTAATCTACGCTCGTTACCCATATCAAAGACACCTGGGAGCCAGAAATCTTGCTGATTGATAGGGGATCAAATATTTATTTCACTCATTGACATGCAAATCAATTTCTAACTTTTGTTGACATGTGTTTTCCTGGATTTTTTTTATTTTGTTATTCAGTCTCTCACTGTTAAAATACACCTACCATTAAAATTATAGACTGATCATTTCTTTGTCAGTGGGCAAACATTCAAAATTAGCAGGGGATCAAATACGTTTTTCCCCTCACTGTACATAAGATACATTGTTCTTTTTCTAAATGACATTTTAGTTGCATAAATTATTATTAGTAAGTCACCTAAATGGTTTTAGCTGCAATAACAGAAGAAAGAAGCAGATAATAGGGATTAAGTATAAGGGTGCTATCTGAATTGGGTGTGATAAAGGCAGGGAGATGATTAGATATCAGGAGAGTGATATTTCAGTTAGTTTAGTTAAGAAGTATTTGAATGAAGCAATGAGGTTCTGACTTTCCCCATTTCTTTAGAGGCCACTCTGCCATACATAGATGCACAGTATCTTCATTTGTTATTGCAGGACAATGAACATGATATTATGTCCTTAGAACCTATACAAATACCAACATAAATACTCAAACATGCATGGTTGTGTTTCACTGTACCTAATTATTATTCCTAAAATGGATTTCAATAAATGGCTGACAATTGTTTTGTACAGACGGGAGAGCTGTATAGCTAGTGTATATAACAAATTAGTCTGCAGTTTACTCTTACAATGGCAATTGTACCATATTAAACATGCATACACATATGTCACACACCAATATTTTAGTCTCTAGGTAACAGTGCTCACTATTGGAGAATGAGTAAAGTGATTAAATGTTATCGTAGAGACAGGCAGTTGTTTGCAGTGCCAGGTTCAGAATGTTCCCAGCAACACATTGGTACAAACAAACCTTACCAGGTCCGTCAAACATACAGAAAAATGTTTTCTCTGACAAAGCACATGCAGATAATGTTCTTCATCTTCGATACTTTGAAGACATAACTCTATTATTTGTACGTGTTTTTAAGCTGGCAGACATGAAACAAGCTAGTTTATTGAAGATAATAGATAAAATTGTTGCAGCGGGAAGATGACTCATTTTTATGAGGTTTAATATACAATCTAATAGACACATGTAAAATAATAGATGCGTCTATTTGTATTGTTCTATGTGTGAAATTATTATTTTTAATGAAGGCGGCTCTGTCACCAAAATTAAACTTTATCTAATCTTTATATATATATATATATATATATATATATATATATATATATATATGTTATAAACTAAGCTTTTTTTATTTTCCTGAGAATTTTTCTTATAATACGTAAGGAAAAATTGGAACTACGTTTCCTTATGTGTAGCAATCAGGTTGACTAAACTTGACAATGGTGTTGGCATGGTTTATGTTTTTAAGTTGCCAGTCATGTTGCAATCAATCTCACAGAAGAGCAACAAGCAGCCGTAATGGACGTAGGAGAACAAAATGGCTGCTCCCAGATATTGAGACCTGGCAAAAGGAAGAAAGATAATACATATAAATAAAGGCAAATGACAAGGGGAATAGTCTATGTATATAAATAAACCCATAAAGTTCTAATAGACACTTTGGTCCAAAAGACACAAAAGGTGCTTTGTAGTATAAAAAGAAAAATAGTAATAAATAAGAACACACAATTTTGGGGGGGTATAAGCAAAAGGATAATTTCAAAAGGAAAAACCCATTGAATGGCTCTACAATTATTAGGGGAAGGGGAGGTTTAAATGGGCATAGAGGGACAAGCTGGATGGAGCAGATTCGAATAGAGGAGATACGAGGTATTATATCAATAAACAAGTTTAAATCTTTCAAACGAAGCAGTGAGGAGAAATAATTGACGATCTAACCCTATGTTGCCTAAATGTAGCTGAACAGGCAGCAAAGTAAATAAACGTAGAGGCAAGCTGCTACTATCTATCTATACACCTGTGTCTATCGATTAGATTACAATATCGATTAGATTATAGGAATCACAAGGGAATCGTTGTTTTTTTATTGTAGCGTAGCAATGTGAACATTTGTCATCTCAATTCATTCGGCTACAGTTTAAATGCAACATTTGCATACAGTACGACATATAACAGGTGAATATAAGAGCTTAGGTAGAGCATATATTCTGTAATATCATACAAATAATTACTAGCGTAAGGTTGCATAATGGTAGTAGGAAAAATTTGCATTTGCTTGTTGGGAACAGCTTTCTTTTTGGGGGTGTAAGCAAGTTGTGAGCTAAATTTCCAATGATATATGTTAGTAACATATTGGCTGATGGGCCAGCTTTAAAGGAATAGTATAAATGGTAACAATCATAAAGTGATAACTTAAAACAATAGCATAAGGAACAGAAGCCTACAACATGCATTCCTATTCATAATGCACTTGTGAGACGTCCGAGCTCTTGCAACGTTCAGGTTGTCAGTTTAGGTGAGCCTGTTACACGGCTCACCCTTGGGAAGAATTTTCTTAACGTTCCAGTGCCTGGAGGTAGTAGCTGGTGATGGTGCTTCAGAGGTATTGCTTATAGTGGCCTCCTGAGATATGCCCAAAGCCTGAAGAAACTTCTCAGAGTCACTTGCTTGTGCGATGTGCACTCTTTTGCCTTTCTGACTGAGAGAAAACCTACTCCCTGGTCCCCAGCAATACTGTATCCCCTTGGCCCTCTGGAGCTGAGTTACTTCTTTCGCCAAGTTACAGTTGCTCTAGAGAGGCCGTTATAGAAGGATTGGTCAGAGCCCTCGAACTCGTAGGTGTTTGCTTCACGGGCTGCTTCTTGGACTAGCATCTTGCCCCGGAGCAATTGAAAACGAATAAGTAAGACCCGTAGGACCTCAGCTGGGGTTCTTGTAGGTTTAGGTACTCGGAAATGGAACTCCAGCAAAATAGATTTTGCTTTAGCTTGTAAGAGAAGAGAGGCCAGTAATCTGCGTAGGTAGTGTGGGATCTCAGGGTCTTGCACTTCCTCTGGTATCCCCCTAATCCTAAGGTTTTGCTGGCGTTTAGTCTTCCAGTGCTGCCACTTTGTTTTCCAAAGTAGTGCTTGTCTGTTTTAGTTGGGTCATTTCCCTCTGCAGGGCCTTAATTATGTTCGATGTAGCCACTTCATTTACCTCTATGGCCTGTATGAGGGCCGTCATGGCGCCCAAATCTTCCCTGATTAAAGCAACGTCAGCTGCTGATTGGGCTTTAGGCTCCTTGAGCAGATTAATATCTGCTTTGCTTTCCGGCATCTTTTCAGGAGGTGGAGTACTCTCCGTCCTGATGCTCCCTCCATTTGCTGGTGCCTCAGCGGACTCACCCTCACTTTCATCTGAGGAGTTGTCATAGGATTCCCACATGGGCGCCATCTTGGCAGGGCGCGGCATTACCTTGAACAAATCGACAATATTTTTAGAAGTCGGCGGCGTCTCACTTCGTAGTTGTTTTGATTTGCGTCCCATTATGTTCGGACAGGTGTAGGAGGTAAGTGGGGCTTCCTAATCTGCCTGTTTTGTGCTTTTTTGGCTTGAGTTGCTTGATAGCTCCGCACAAGGTTGCTTGCTGAGGTCAAATACTTCCCAGTTTTCCTTTGAATTGTGTTGTGGAGAAAAAAGCTTTTAGGTAAAGGAAATTGATCAAGAAAGTGTTGACTTTCTCTACAATCAGTAGTTTATATAATTATTGGGCACAATTGCCATCAATCCCAAAAACATCAAAATATAAGGGTTCTCTTAACCTTTAGTAATTAAAGTTCTGAAAATGGGTATCAACGTTTTAACTAATAATGTTTTGATGAAGTCACAAATATCCTGCAAACAATAGTATGACGGAGAAAATTTATGTCGCCACTCATATAACCATGGAAGAAAACCAATAGATACATGATAAACAAAAATTGTAATTGGCAACATAAATAGCAGAAATTTTGGGGCCCTACACAGCTCAAGGTCCGTGCCCATGGCTCTTGTGTCTGCGAGTCCACCCTGAATCCGGCCACCCTGAATCCAGCCACAATGATGCAGTGTGTGTGTGTGTGTGTAGAGTGGACTCAGAGAGTGGGTGCAGTGTGCTTGCAGAGTGTGTGTGTGTATGTATAGTGAACGCAATCTCTGTGTGTGTATGTTTAGTAGATGCAGTGTGTATATAGTGGATGCAGTGTGTGTGTAGTGCATGCAGTGTGTGTGTAGTGGATGTAGTGTTTCTTTGTATAGTGGATGCAGTGTGTGTTTCTGTAGTGGATTTGGTGTGTATTTGTGTAAATATGTAACCAGTGATGAAGGACATTACACCCTGGTGGCACAGGCCCTGTACAGCCATACCACCTGTAGCCCCTTGCTGGTGTCCTGAAGACGTGTATGGTTTACCCCAAATCTTTTGAGCAGGTCAAGCAGGCTTGAAGCATGGTTAGACAAAGTAGTCTTCCTTTCAAGTACATTTTATATTGTATTTTGTTGGGGTTTTTTTTACTACTAAACGTAGACCAATATGAAGGCTTAAGAAACTGGTAATTAGTAAATTCCTCATTTTTTTAAGTATAGCATGACAATTCTTACCCTGAGTACAAAGGCAAGCAAAATAATGGAACCTAGATGGGACCCAGTTTTGGGCCCTCACATATTGTTATGGGAGAGGAATGATTGTCTATTTGTAAAGCTCTGGCACAGCCTTTTGAATATCATGGATTGCAGGTCGTATTCTATTGAACGACATATGGATATGGAAATCATGCCCACGTCGAAATTTGTGCTAAATATTGATAGCATGTTTTACAGCCTATAATGTGGCATGGTATTATGTTCAGAGACCTTGCCTGTTTATTTTGTTGTGATTTAGGACCTGCTTGATCTGGGGTGGGAAGGGTTGTGTGTTTGGCCTATTTCTTTGGTAAACAGGACATATGTTGTACATTATTTCGGTTAAAGATTTGCTTAAAGGGTTAGACCAAGAACCATGACTACTTCAGTGATTTGAAGTAGTCTCAGTGCCTTAAGTCTGTAAGGGCAACATTTCAGCCAATGAATGAGCGGCAGGATGTTATAAGCTGTCCTCATAGAAGACACAGCACCCGTTTAGTGTACCTGGGGAAAAACAAAATAAATGAATATCAGTTTATTTTTTCTGCAGCAGTTATAAATTATGCTGCAGATATTTAAAAAACCAAAAGCAAATAATCAGTCAACCAGGAAACAGGTGCAAGTTGGATAATATATTTTATAAGACAAGTAATTATCTTATAAATACTGGTGCACTACATTACAAAAGGTTAATTTACTCTCAAGCATATTCAAGAATACAGTGATGCAATCCCTGTCAAATGAGGACGCCAGTAGTTGGTGAAAATGATGACGCAAAGCTTCGTGACACTTGCACGCTATATAGAGTTCACTTGGATAAAATAGTAAAATACGTAAGTTCATCTTTTACAGGTGGCTGGAGTATAACCCTGCTAAATTTATTCTTGAATACATCCATAAACTCTTTCCTGAGCAACATATATAAGGTTGTCCATAATAAGCTGTTAGTAGTTTTTCATATTTGTAATTTAAACTATTTGGCATTGCATGAAAAGAATGGAGATAGATCACAGGTGACCATGAATAACTAATTGATAAATACCAAAGTAGATGCCCTTAACCAACAACTTTGTTTCTTCCAGGACACTCTAAGCACAATAACCACTACAATCCATTGTTGTGGTGATGGTGCCAGCATGCTACTGACAATATTTCCCCAGTTGTTGATCACAGCGGTTGTGAGTTGAAATAAACTTAAGGTCGAAATAGATCGGAACCTACCTCAAAATTGTGAAATTCGCTGTGTGAGCTCTTAAGAAAGGCGCTGTGTAAGCTCTGTAACGAACGTTGAGCGCATGCTATAGACTTTTATTTTAACTTGGATAACTTTAAAAAAAAATAAAAAAAATTGGGGGTACTTTATCTTTTATCTTGTAGACGTTAAGACAGGAAGATTTTTTTACACGCTGAGCTACTATCCAATACTGCTTTCTGAGATCAGAATAGGGGATGCCTCAAAGCAGCATTAGCTCCTAAGTGGTTTGACAGGTGTATTTATCGGGATTTGAGCAATATGGGTTCTATGAGTCCTGCTTTGTATTATCAACTCTAAATATCTCTATACCACTGAGGGCGGGCACAGACTAGTTCCTAAGCGGTCAGAGAGGTGGATTTATTGGGAATTGAGTGATAAAAGTGTTTTGCCTCCTGCTTTTTACCACTAACTCTATATATCTTTATACCATATCACTATTATACATATACCTTAATTGGGGTGTATATCTGTGTTAGTTTCCCAGCCCTACGTTAATAGGCTTGGGATACACTACAGCACATCGTCCCCAGGTATATAACCCTGACAATATTCATTTTTTATATAGGTATAAAATGATATAATTGCTTTGAATATATATCTTTTAACTGTTGTTGTACATCCAAATATTTTCTGGGGTAATCTTTGTTTGATAGCTAGCTTTCAATTTTGAGGTAGGTTCCCATGTATTTCTTCTCTAATTTGTATATGGGTTTATGCCCCTTAGTTTACCCTATAACACGAACACGAACCCCCGAGGGGATATTTTTCTCCCTTACGGAGCTCGTCTTCTATAATAAACTAAGGGTCACTCGTATGCTTCCATGTTCAGATGCTCACAGATCTTATTGCTTTAGAAACTGAAATTGCTAATGCAGATATGTATCTTCCTTATGAGCAATATGGTGGCCAGTGGTGCCTGGAGTACATTTAGTCTGTGCCAAACCACAACCACATTGGTTAAAGTCCACTACAACAGACTTTAATGGTTAAGATGCTTAGAGTACAGTTTTAAGGTGCTCTGCCCCCCCACAAATGTGTTTATTCCATACAGATAATAGCTTTAAGAAATTATCACATTGACTGTGCAGTCAAAATATATTGTAACAAAAAGTAGAGCCTTTCTGCCAATTGACAAAAGGCAGAGTCTTGTCAATTCCCCCCATCCGTCACTTGTGACGACAGTGGGTAAAAAGACATTGTCTATGGAGGCTCCTGCGCTAGAGTGCGGCATTGACGTGGGCTTTGGAGGAATGAACTGCCAGGAGCTGGAAAAAGAAGATGCCATGGGACAGCATCAGGTAGACTGTGTCCACTGCTCTGCAGAATATGTGGAAAGATCCCAGAGTCACTTTAACATGGACATTAAATAAAACAGTAGGAAATCAAGGATAATACAAAAAAAATTACAACAATAGTGTAGTATGTACAATATGGTGAATAATTGCTAGTTCTCCAGCAATGACTTTATAATTCGCCATGCAGTATTGAGTTATGAAATTGTTATTTTCAGTTTGTCTGACACCTAATTCGATTGATGATTGAATCAAATCAGCTCTTGCATTAGCAATGTGAAATCACATTACTATGTGGTAGCAAAGCAGCAATTTTATTTAGGGTAACTTATCCAAAACTATGACTTCTGCAGAATTCTTTTTGTTATTACATTGTCACCTATTCTACCCTATTGTTGCTGTCAGATATTCTATAATAGTGGTTCTTAAAGGGATACTCTAAGCACTAAAAAACGTACATATGTTTGCAAACTTTGCTCAGTGTTCTTTCAGAAAAACAGTCCGCATTCACTTACGCACACACACCACACTCTACATTCACTATACACACACTACACTCTACATTCACTATACACACACTACACAAACACACACACTCTGCATTCATTATATACACACTACACAAACACTCACAGCATTCACTATACACTCTTCACAAACACCTTTACCTTTCAGGTAAGACGCAGGGAGGGGGAACAAAAAAAATAATTAAAATATTTAAAATAAAATAAAAAAGGCCCCCCATTTTACACAAATTACACACCTACAGAAACACACACACACTCTGCATTATATACACACTACACAAACACACTGCATTCATTATATACACACTACACAAACACACACACACACTCTGCATTCATATACACACTACACAAACACACACACTCTGCATTCACTATACACACACACTACACACACACTCTGCATTCACTACACACACACACACACACACTGCATTCACTACACACACACTACACACACTGCATTCACTATACACAAACTACACAAACACACACACTCTGCATTCATTATATATAAACACTACACAAACACACACACAGACACACTCTGCATTCACTATACACTCACTGCATTCACTTTACGCACACACCGCATTCACTTTACACACACCACACTCTACATTCACTATACACACACTACACTCTACATTCACTATACACACACTACACAAACACACACACTCTGCATTCATTATATACACACTACACAAACACTCACAGCATTCACTATACACTCTACACAAACACACTCTGCATTCATTATATACACACTACACAAATACACTCTGCATCCACTACACAAACACACACAGC